AAAAAAAACATGTTTAAAAAAAACATGGTTGTAAGTAAAATGACTTCATCACTATCCACTCTACCCTTTTAAGTCATTTTTATATATCATTTATATCCCAGAGTCCAAGTCCTTAAATCCAAAATAGAGAAAAGAACTAAAATTCCAAATAATCAAAAGTACTTGATTATTCAAAATACTACTCAAGGTGAAAAATAGCCGTCACTTACCGGGCTGTGTACATTTTACAAACAAAACACTTTCTGGTCCATAGCCAATGCTTCTTGATAAGAAGGGGATAAAGTGTCCTATCCAAGCAGTCGTCATGATGCACAAGCCTTTTGTATATGAGAAAATAATCATATTAAAGTACAAAGTCTTCTGATCTATAAAGAATTAAATAGACCGGCAGCTCAATATCAAGAACAAAGTAGCTGTATATTTTTTGCTAGGAAAAGATTTGAGTATAACTGGTATTACATCAGGATTTACCAAAATGTGTTCAACAAAACACTTCTGCAAAAGAGCACTGTGGTTAAACAAGGTTTTCTTTCCTATAAAAGTTCCAAATCCCTTTATGGTTATGTGCACTGACACTAAGAGAAAAACACTGTATGCAGCATACCTTGAGTATTTTCATAGGAAACTCTTTCCTTTGATCAATACTTAACTACCTTTTTTTTTTTTTAAAAGATTTATTTATTTATTCGTACAGAACTGGGGTACAGGCCAGAGATGCGGAGGGTGAGAGGATTCACCAGAGACAGAGCTGGAAGCAGAACAGGCAGATCTACGAAGTACACTGCTGAGGGGAGCAGCGGGCGGGTCAGGAGAGGTCTGCCACGCCATGTGGTCGCCTCCGGGGCAGGCGGGAATCGAACTCATGCGGAAGTGGCATAGTTTCTTAGTGCAGTGCTTTAACCCGCTGCGCCACCAGGGAGGGCCTAACTACCTTTTTATGGAACTAAGTTTGAGCAAATATACTCAGTACTAATTTATCTAGATTGACAGGTTTGTGTAAAACATGGCTCTTGTTTACTGTCCCCTTTATTAAAATCCAATTCTGGCTACAAATATTATGTGAACTTTAGAGAACTACGCTGTTTTACAGCTCTGTTATACACTCATTCTTAAATGTGTCTCTCCCATTATTCTCGTAGTTCCTTTTCTGTTTTACCTACTCTGCTTTGCAGTCCATGATTTTCAAAGTTTGTTCTTCATGTGAAGTACTTCTGGTAGCTTCCTGATAGTAAGTCCATAGGAGGTAAATTTTTGGAGGGCTAAGACCCCCAAACAGTAGAAGCAGGGACTGTCTGAAAGTTTCAGGTCTGATTACAGGTATGAAAACATATATCATTGTTCCACACACAAATTTTTAAATGGTCTCCCAGAACCAAACCAGGAATATAGCAGGGTTTATTTCTTTTCCACCTTAAAGGTTTATTTATGCATACAGAACTGGGGTGCAGGCCAGAGGTGCAGGGTCAGTGAGAGGATTCACCAGAGAGAGTGGGTAGCAGAACAGGCTGACTGATGAAGTACACTGCTGAGGGGAGCAGTGGGTGAGTCAAGAGAGGTCTGTGCTGGTGGGTCACCTCTCTGGCAGGGGATTGAACTTGTAGTGCAGCAGCTGCGGTTCGCTTGCAGTGCTGCACCTTAAGCGGTTGCAGCACCAGGGAGAGCCCTAGCAGGGTTTATTTCTACATATTTGTCTTTCATAAACTGATAACATCCTAAATAAGAAAATGAATAGCCTTAAGAGAGGGAAATACCGGCTGTACAATATAACTAATCCTCAAATCTCAGCTAAGACTATTTTAGCTCCCTCCCAATTAATCTTTTTCAAAGCATTAAAACTTAACATGTCAAATATTAGAAATTACTCTTCCCTGATTCTTTACCTCCTTCAAATTTTGGCAGAAAGACAAAACCTGGAAATACAGTTTCAAACTTGCAAAGTAGAAAGCTTATATGACATATAATATTGATGACGACTACCTGCCTAGTAGTTGTCTAAATACAAATGAGATACTTTCAAAGTATTAAAATTTTAACACTAAAAACCATAATCTATCTTATATAGCTTTCCCAACACTAATAGAGGATACAGTCACCGCATGAAAGAAAATACTTATTTTTGCCTTTCCATCATGACAGTACAAAAGAGAAAAAAAAAATCTTTTATTTACTATGAAATAAAAGAACAGAAGAAATAGCAGTGTTATTTGTGCTCTCACTTACCTTATGTCAGTAATAACGACAACATGTTCACAGTCTCCCTGGTGACAGTACAAGTAAGGAAAACCCAATTTAATATACAAGTCACTGAAGGTGAAGTCTTCCATGTTAGCAGTCTGAAACTTCCCATAGCCTCTATCATGGGATTCTGACCACTCAATGATAGTTCTGGATAGGGAGGAGAGGACACACAGATTTATCATTGCTCCACAAAAACTAAGTATGACAGAAAGGGTTAGGATTGCAGTATTTCACAAAACCTGGGATATTCAATTAACTGGACAGTTGCCATCTTGATGTGAAAATTACTGTAGTGGCCCTCCCTGGTGGCGCAGCGGGTTAAAGCACAGCACTGAGCAGCTTAGGTCACTTCCGCATGAGTCCGATCCCCGCCTGCTCCGGAGGTGACCACATGGCATGGCAGATCTCTCTGGGCCCGCCCGCTGCTCCCCTCAGCAGTGTACTTCCACAGTCTGCCTGTTTTGCTCCCCACTATGTCTCTGGTGAGTCCTCTCACCCTCCGCATCTCTGGCCTGTGCCCCAGTTCTGTATGAATAAATAAATACATCTTTGAAAAAAAAATTACTGTAGTTTATATATATATACTGAAATATGGAACTCAGGGTTTTTCTTCATCCATTAGAGTAGTTCTCAAAGAGTAGTTTCTGACACCCAAAATTTTCCTTACAAAAATCCTGAAATACCATTTGCCCTTTCAACTTTCATAAATAACTACTTTTCTGGCTACATGTATTGTTACCACTTAGGGTTGAATAAAAACTATGTAACAATGGCACTCGTTTCAGAAAAAATTTTTCACAAAAATGTCCTACAGTTATGTAATGAGACAAATTAGTATTTTAAATTTTTTAGCTTCAATTTCTAATACGGTAAATGTCGACAGTTAAAAATCCACATTAAAAAAGTCTGTGGGCCCTCTCTGGTGGTGCATCGGGTTAAAGCACAGCACTGAGAAGCTAAAGCCACTTCCTCATGAGTTCAATCTCCGCTTGCCACATGGTGTGGCAGACCTCTCCTGACCGGCCCGCTGCTCCCCTCAGCAGTGTACTTCATCAGTCGGCCTATTCTGCTCCTCGCTGTGTGTGTGGTAAATCCTCTCACCGTCCCTGCACCTCTGGTCTGTACCCAAGTTCTGTATCCATAAATAAACAAATCTTTAAAAACAACAACAAAAAAGTCTTTATCTTACATTATTGGGATTACTGAGCTCAAGTATGACTGCTAATTGGAATACATATTTATGGTTATGCTGAAAGAATAACACAAAAACATACATTTTAGATACATATGTATATATATAATACATATTTTAGATATGTATCACTGATAATGACATGATTGATTCAACATATTAGATACATATTTTTTAAATATTAAAAATTTGAAAATCCATACAGATTTTTCATGCTATATACCTAAATGCTAAATGAGACCCGCCCCCTCCCCCCCCACAGACACACACTTAGGACAAACAACAGTATACACTGGACAAACAGAAAAACAGTGAAAGATTACTGTTATCACTTAAATATGAAAACAGATTGATAAAGTGTTCAAGTGGGACTTAAGTTTTTTTAGCTGTACCTAAAGATAAATACAAGATTTACTATAATTTCTTAAACAGTAGATAATACATTAAAAAATAATGCTGAACTTCCCTGGAGGCCTACCGGTTGAGTCTCAGTGCTGTCACCAATGTGACTTGAGTTCAAATCCACATATAGTGCAGCAGACCTCTCTTTGCCTGCTGCTCCCCTCAGCAGTGTGTTTCAGCAAATCTGCTGTTCTGTTTCCCACTCTCTCTGGTAAATTCTCTCACCCTCTGCATCTCTGCCTACACCCCAGTTCTTCTATTCAAAAATATAAAAAATGATGCTGAGAATATAAACAATTAGGACTACATTTTAAACAGTGAAAGAAACTATCACCAGAACAAAAATATACCCTGCTAAATGTTGAGAAAACAGAAAAGCCAAATAGGCAACTTCTCCAAAGAAGACATATAAAGGCCAACAACAGGCACTTGGAATAAAGCTCATTATCAGGTGATAATACTATACTATCAGGGAAATACAAGTCAAAATCACAATGAGATAGCACTTCACACCTGTGAGAGCGGTTCTTATAAAAAGATCAGAAACAAGTGTTGGCAAGGACATGGAGAAAAGGAACCCTCATTCACTGTTGGTGGGAATGTAGAAGGGCCCATTCCCTATGGAAAATGGCATGGAGGTTTCTGAAAATATTTAAAAGTATGTACCACATATGAGCCAGCAATTCCACTTTTAGGTATCTACCTGAAGGCTACAAAAGCACTAATTCAAAGGGATATACACACCCCTACGTTTATTGCATCACCAAGTTATGGAAACAATCTAACTGCCCATCACCTGAGCCGTGGCTAAAAAGATGTGGTACATATACACTGTGGACTACTACTCAACTACATTAAAAAAAAAGATGAATTCTTGACATCTGCCACAACATGCAACTGGAGGGGATTGTGTCATGCAAAGTAAGTCAGGAGGTGAAAGAAAATACCCAATGATATCATTTACATATGGGATACAAAGAAACTAAACAGTCACCTAAAGCCAAACCAGCAAAGAACACCCTAGAAATCTGACTGTAGACTGGAGCTACCAGAAGGTGTAGGATGGAAAGTAAAATAGGGAGGGAGCACAAAGGACCATGGCCGAGGACTTTGGTATCTTGGTGGTATGTTATGAGAGGCAGGGTATGATTCTATACCTCTAAATCATATATGCATGTAGTAAACCAATACCTTCATTAAAATATTTCTCTGGGCCCTTCATGGTGGCGCAGCGGGTTAAAGCACAGCACTAAGAAGCTTAAGCCACTTCTGCATGAGTTCGATCCCCGCCTGCCCCGGAGGTGACCACATGGCAGGTCAGACCTCTCCTGGCCCGCCCGCAGCTCTCCTTAGCAGTGTACTTTGTAGATCTGCCTGTTCTGCTCTCCACTCTGTCTCTGGTGGCTCCTCCCACCCTCCACATCTCTGGCCTGTACCCCAGTTTTGTATGAATAAATGAATCTTTAAAAAAAAAACTCTTTGGTTCATGTTTGTCTTTTTAATAGCTAATCTAATGTGAAAATAATAGTAAGTAGATCTTGAAATGGTCTATGCATTTATTTGGTAGGAAAATTTGCTTCCTGGGTTACAATTTTTTATTAACATACCAGTACCAAGACCAACCAGATGTATTAACTTGGAAAATACTTTAAAACTGAGAAAGGTAGTTTTTGACCAAACAAAACGATGTAACAAAATAATTTCTGGGCAGAGTTCTTAACAGACTAGTAAGTGGGGCAGTGGAAATAATTACTTTTGAGAATAAGAAATAAAAAATCTTTGAGAAAATTTTTAGAAACTGTACCTGCTCAAGTCTCTGCATTCAGGGTAACGTTTATCATTGTAAAATGTTCCTTCAAAATAAAAGAAGGCTGATTTGTAAAGGTCCTATAAGAAAAAAGATGGTATTAAAAGAAAGCCCACTATTAGCAATTATGAAATTCCTCTAAGTATTTAATGCAAAATTTGTAAGTCATGAAATTATACAATATGTTACAATAGCCTTATGCTATTAGTCGTTAATTTCATATTTAGTGGGACTCGCCTAAGTGACAAGTATTATGATAGTTACTCATAATAAAGGGGTAAAAACACACTGCTGCTATTTGCAATTTTATCCTGTTGCTCTTTTCAGTGGTTGAGAATGGGATCTCACACCCTGACGTGTGCCTGGAGTTCAGAGACAATATTTGGACTAGTTGTAAATTTGGGAGTCCTAAGATTTATAGCAGTAACTCTGGACAAGATTGCCTAGGGAGTACACAGAGAGGGAAGGTCTGACGATTGGCTCAGAGGTTTTTACAAGTCAGGAAGATGTGAAACATCTTAAAATTCACTCAGAGAGGAAGAGAAACAGTTGAATCTGATGTGTTTCAAGGAAAAAGGATTATCCAACTGTGTTATATGCTGATGAGAGGTTAAATAAGATGAGAAGTAAGAGACCATGGTATACCACATTAGAAAGAGCAATTTTGGGGCCCTCCCTAGTGGCACAATAGGTTAAAGCACAGCACTATCAAGCTATCTGCAGTCACTGCAACACGAGCTCAATCCCCAGCCAGGGAAGTGACCTACATGGTGCAGCAGACCTCTCCTGACCTACCCGCTGTTCCCCTCAGCAGTGTACTTCATCAGTTGTTCTGCTCCCCACTCTGTCTCTGGTGAATCCTTTCACACCCCCTCACCTCTGGCCTGTACCCCAGTTCTGTATGCATAAATAAATCTTTAAAAGAGTGATTTTGGTGGAAAAGAAGTCAGTGTAAAGACAAGGTAGATGAGAAAAAGGGGAACAATTTTAGGTTTTTTTTTTTTAAACAGGCAAGTCAATGCAATGGAAAAAACGGACAAAGCAGGGAGAGGTGATAACGACAAGAATGAAATCCTTGGTTATGCAGGAAGGAATGGAATCCAGTTTAGGCCTTGGATAGAGATAGTTCTCTGCCTGAGTTGTATCAGGTGACAGAATTAGTTCAGTTTTGCCCTCTCATGAAACTTAGAAGGATCAAGGCTTTGTTGGATACTTTATTGGTTAAACAATCCCTTCTAAAAACTTCGTGGGTGGCCACCCTGGCGCTTTGCTCCCTTCTATCCTTATGTAGTATGTAGGGGCTTTCTGTGATTTTGAGAGTATAATTTTGGGAAATCTTAGCAAGGGCCCACACCAGATATTATGCCCCTGCTTGCTATTGGTCCTTGGACTGACAAGTCTTTCGATAGGCAAGGAAATTTGAAAATGAACTCCAACTCCTTTGATGGGGCAAGTTATGCCAGATTGAAACTCATATAGAGTTTGAAAGAGGAGGAAATGAATAACAAATTCAAATGTTACAATGAAGACAAGCTGAGTGAATATTAAAGAGACCAACTGGTTAGGTAACTGTTTATTATCTATGACCTTAGAAGGGAGAGTATCTGTAGAATGACTGAGAAATTAATGGGAGACGAGGAAATCAAAAGTAAATTTAGCCTAATTGTTGAAAAAAGTCTCAATGCTACAGAGAAGGAAAAAGATAGTGACAAATGGCACGAAAGAAAGCATTTACTGAACTATTTATGAGCCTACTAGAGTAATCCCTGTTTCTCTAGCTTGTTATCAATTTATGGGGATAAAAAAAAATCACCTTACCTTGCTGATGTGTTCAGGAGCTTGGTCAGGAGTGTTGCTGAATTCTCCACCAATCTGGAGGTCACTAACACAGCAAATTGAATCCCTCAGCTCTGTGAGTTTTTGACTGCCCAATACCAACATTGTCTGGTATGGTTTGTGTTCTTTGTGCTAAGTCAAATGATAAATAATTATCCACTTAGCAATTAAACCACAAACTCTAAAGACCACATCTGATTAAATTACTAGTTTTCTTAACTTATCTCTACAACTTGGTGTTCTGTTATTTTCTCAGATTCTGAGTTTGTCTATTTGGCAACTGTTATATAGGTCCAAACTAATGACCAAAGTTCTTTATATTTCCCCTGTAATCCAGAGCTGATATTGTGAAACTACTTTCTCTAACTAGTTCTCAGAAGCCAGTATTTCCCCTGAATCAACACAGAGCCAGCTACTAAACAACTGCGGGCAATCCTGAGATTCCAGAGTCCTCTGGAATTATTCCATTTAGCTATTCCTAAGCTCTTCACCCTGCCTTAACTTTCCCACGGAAACCCTGTGAAGGCTTGGTCTGTGCTTTCCCTTCCCTCCTTTCTGTCTGCTAACACCATAGTGCTGTTTCATCTCAGAAAATATATGTAAAAAAAATCTTTAAATGGCATTGGCCTCGAGTGTTGTCACCCAGCTACCTCCATAAATTAAAATCCCACAGGAACAACTGAGCTACTTGGTGATGAGTTGTTTGCGCTGTTCCTTTTCTCCCTTGCTCATTCACTTTTCACAGAGTAATCTTAGAAGATGGGGACCAGTGGGTGCTCATGAGGGGCATTAGTGCTCTTGTAAAAGACCCTGTATATGAGAAATCTGTGACCCAGAAAAGTGCCTCAAGCAACTGCATGGGCCCCATGATCTTGGACTATCAGCCTCCAGAACTGTGAGAAGTAAACATCTGTTGTTGATAAGGCACGCAGTCTGTGCTTTGTTATAGCAGACGGAACAGACTATGAAGACTGATACGTGGTAATAAAACTTCTTCTGTTTAACCTAAAGTTTATAATCAGGATCCCACTAAAATGACAAATGACAGCCTCTGGAATATAACTTCATTACCACTATTGTCTTTTAAGATTTCCTAGAACTTAGAAGTTATTTCATTTAAGTCTTGCAATTAAGGGCCTCCTTGGTGGTGCAAGGGGTTAAGTCTCAGCACTATGAAGCTATCAGCAGCCACTGCAGCACGGGTTCAATCCCGAGCCAGGGAGCTGACCATGTGGCACTCTGACCTCTCCTGTCTTGCCCGCTGCTCCCCTCAGCAGTGTATCTCAATGGGCCCCCTTGTTCTGTCCCCACTCTGTCTCTGGTTAATCCTCTCACCTTCACCCCACACCTCTTGCCTGTACCACAGTTCTTATATGCATAAATAAATCTTAAAAAAGAAAGTCAAACAATTAATCTATACTCATAACTACAGAAATGAAGCCATATTAATTTTGTTCTATTGTTTTTAATTGATAATTTGGAATCCCAGTTTAAGTCATTAGTACTAAGTATATCCAGATGCTTCATAAAAATCTGTTTATCAATAAGTACAATTTATATATCATAATTTTCAATAAAATCTTATCAAACTTAATGCCATATATTTGGGAAATCAAATATATACAGAATTCTTTTTATTACATTCCTATGAAATTCCTGGACCCCAGACCTATTAACTTTCTTCATTTTCATCAAAGAGTAGCTCTATTTAGTTCATTCAATAATTCCCCAAATATACTGAATTACTATACAGATGTCACCCCATTCCTTCAGTAACCTATTCTGCAAAAAAATTTTGAGAATTCATAAAACAGAATTATATATGCTTTCAAATGTTTATAGTGCAGAAATCAAATATATATTCCAATACTCTTAACTATAATCCTATTGATCAAGAGATTATTTAAATTTTGGCCTTAAATTTAAGATACTAAAACAAAGAACCTAACAATACAGACAGGATATTAAATAACACATGCTTATATTTATTTTGAACCTGACAGAATGTGAATCTTCAAATTAAATCCTTTTACAAAAATCACCAGTTATCAGTGAAATCTAAAAGGTTTTACTACTGACCTTATGAAATATAACAGGGTACAAGATATTTACAGATAGGATAAGCTCTCCCTCTCCAATCATGTCAGCTGGATTTTCAGGCCTTTTTCCTATGGCATGTGACTCCTGGAGAAGGAAAATTAATTAGTAAAAGACCTTAAAGCCAGACACTGTGACTTAGATAAGAGGCAATGTGGAACAATGGCTATAAGCAAGGGCTTGAGTCAGACAGCCCTGGGTTTGGCTATTAATTCTACTTCAAGAAAACTGTTAAAATCTTACTAAGTTTTAGTTTTATTTCTGTAAAAAACAGAAACTACTTAATTTTTTTTATTACAAAAGTTTACTTTTACATCATTTTGTACATTTTTTTTCCATCTCAATTGTAATCCCCGCAGGTAGAAACTACTTAATTTTATTGTTGCTGAGAATATTTACACAGAGCATATAATAAGATGTTTGGTAGTAAGTGTTTAGCAAATGATGATGAGGCAGAAATACCAATTAGTGTTAGTGTAACATTGGCATTTACAGTTGCTAATATGTTTACATATTTTGTAAGCTATTTGACAGATGAAGATTAAGAATTTCATTGATTTACCCAACAAAAATGAGTAAATCATAGTTAGGATGCAAACACATAACATAGTTAGGATGCAAACACGTATCTGGCCCTAAGGCCCATGCTTTACAACACTGACACATCTTACTATGTCAAACTCCTTTACATGTACTTAATAACTATAAAATAGGGCCATTAGACTGATATGGTTTAGAAATAAAGATGCAAAAGATGTTTTAAAAATAAGTAGGAGTGACATCATGCAAAATAGTGGAATAGAAAGCTTTAGGTATCAGCCTTGCCACCAAAACAATCTTTAAGATGGAAAGAGAGATTAGAAGAGCAACTATTTTGGAACTAGGGAAAAAATCCATTTAAGGTGCTATCAAAAGGAATGCAATACTTAAAAATAAAGACAACCTAAATAATTTGAAAACATCTCTTCATGGATTAGAAGACGTAATATTGATAAAACGACAACACTACCCAAAAAGATACATACGCAGATTCAATGCAATTTCTAAACAAATCTGTGATACTTTCCCCCCCAGAAATAGAAATACCCATCCTAAAATTCATATGGAAATTCAAGTGACCATGAGTAGTTAAAACAATTTTGAATAAGAACAAAATTGAACAGAGGTCACTAAAAGCTAGAGGAAGGGAAAATGGAGAATTTATTGTTTAATGGATTTAAAAATTATGTTTGGGATGATGAAAAAGTTCTGTAAATAGTGGTGATACGCAGCATGTGAATATACTTAGTCACTTAATGGAACATTTAAAAATGTTTAAAAAATACAATTTTGTTATGCACAATTTATCATGCACATGCAAAAAGTGGGGTACTGCATGCTCTGGTGTATTATCAAGTGCCCAACAAAGAGTCTGACACATAGTAGTTCTCTATGCAGTGTAAGAATGTATACGAAATGAACCCTTCACATATCCTTAAATTTCTCTGAGGAATTTTACAGAGCAGACAACAGATTAAGGAAAGAATGTAGTCAAAGTAAAACAAACATGACAAAACTGCAGAAATTGGGTGGTATCAAAAACAGCATGAATTAGCTTAACACAAAGAGCAAGACGATACCAAAATAAATAAAGAAATCAAGGATGGAATTTAAAAGAGTCAAATACACCAGCATTTGGATTCTTTGGGTCTCTCTTTCTACTAGCTTCCAGTTCTAGTAAAAATTCTGTAGCTTGTTTTCAACTAAACATAGCTAATGTAGTTACCATACAGTCATCCTTAATATTCATCCAATGACACAGCTTACTGTAGCCTGGGAAAAGTAAAAAATATAATTCTTACCATCTCATAAGCAAATGTTTCCTGTCTGCAGACCCGATCTATCGTTATGGTTTCTTCCCGATGCTCCATAAGTTTCTTTCTAATCCTGTTATAAAAACAGGAAATATCAAATTTCACTATTCATTAAAAAAAAATTATTTATACATTCAAGAACTGAGGTATAGGAAGAGATGTGAAGGTGGTGAGAGGATCACCAGGGACAGAGAAGAGAGCAGAACAGGCAGATCTACTGACAGGTGGAGGAGGGGAGACAGGAGAGGTCTGCTGCACCATGAGGGTCACCTCCCTGGCCAGGGATTAAACTCATGTTTCAATGGCTGGTGATAGCTTAAGAGCTCTGTATTTAACCCCTACACCACCATGGAGGCCCCAAATTTCAATATTCTTTACTGGGCTTACAAAACACCTTTAATACCTACCTTTTTAATAATGAGCTAAATTTTTAAAAAAGATTTATTTATTTATGCAGAACTGGGGTATAGGCCAGAGGTCCAGGGGCAGTGACAGGATTCACCAGAGACAGAGTGGGAAGCCGAACAGGCAAACTGATGAAGTACACTGCTGACGGGAGCAGTGGGTGGGTCAGGAGAGGTCTGCCACGCCATGTGGTTCAACTCCGGGGTGGGGACTTGAACTCATGCTAAAGTGGCTTTAACTTCTTAGTGCTGTGCTTTAACCCGCTGCACCACTAGGGAGGGCCCAAGCTATATATTTTTTATATTGAAATAATTAATTTTAGATTTATAAGTCTTATGCTGAAGTTGGTATTGTGCCCTATTTGTTAATGCATTTATAACTGTATTTTCTAGCATATCCTATAGTTTTTCTTTAACACTGTTATATAATTTGGTGTATATATAATCATACATAGTTTATCCTGATGTGGTTTGTGGTTTTTAGCATTAATAGTATAGTCTGCACAAGACAGTGTTAAGAATGTTATTAAGACTGATCTTATTGAGTGTGTTCTCTAATCACAGCAGTATGAAAAGAGAAATCAACTACAAAAGGAAATCTGGAAAGATTTCAATCATGTGGATACTGAACAACTGTGCTACTGAATAATTTGCTACTGAATAACTATTAAGTCAATGAAAAAATTAAAGGAGAAGTAATAAGTTCTTGGAGAAAAACAAAAATGAATAGGTACTCCCTGGTTGCCTAATATCATGAAGCAGCAGACCTCTCCTGTCTCCCGCTGCTCCCCTCAGCAGTGTACTTTGTCCGTCTGCCGGTTCTGTTCCCCATTCTGTCTCTGATGAATCCTCTCACCATCCCTGTACCTCTGGCCAGTACCCCAGTTCTGTATGCATGAAGAAATACATCTTTTTAAAAAATGAAGAAACAAGTTATCTGAATCTATAGAACACAGGAAAATTCGTACTTAAGGGGAAGTTTATAGCAATACAGGCTTACACCAAAGTCATGAAAAATCCAAAATGAACAATCTAACCTTATACTTGAAGGAACTAAATGAAGGAATAAATGAAGTCAAAAGCCAGCAGTAGTAAGAAGATAAAAATCAGAGCAGAATTAAAATAACTCAAAAAGATAATATCAAGGATCAATGAAACTTGTTACTTTGAAGATTAACAAAATTGATGAGTCATTAGCTAGGTTCATTAAGAAAAAAAGAAACAACTATAATAAACAAATTGAAGTGAAAGAATTTATAATAGGTAAGACAAAAATACAAAAGACCATCAGACTACTATGAATATATATGACAATAAGAGAACCAAATAGTTTCACCAATGAGTTCTACCAAGCTTTTACATAGTATTTTATACTTATCCTTCTCAAACTTCCAAAAAATAGGAAAGGTGAGAGAACACTTCCAAATTCATTTTGTATGGCAACATTGTCTTAATATGAAAAGCAGACTAGGAGATCTCAAAAAAAAAAAAGATGTTATCACTGATGAACACAGATGCAAAAATCTCAACAAAACTTTAGCCAACTGAATTTAAAAGATCAGACATCATGGCCAAGTAGCATTTATTGCAGAGATGGTTCCAATACACAAAACCAATTTTTTCCATTACACATCAACAAAGGGAAGGATAAAAATCATAAAATCCTATCAATAGATTCAGAAAAGGCATTTAACAATATTTAACATCCATTTATGCTAAAGCTCTCAATAAAACAGAGATAAAAGAAACATACCATAAGTAATCAAAGGTAAAACATGACGAACCCACAATTTACTCAGTTATAAATAACTAAAAATTTTCCTTTAATATTGGGGACAAGACAAGGCTGTTCATGCTTATTTCTACCATTCAACATAGTACTGTAAGTCTGAGTCAGAGCAATTAAACAAGTAATAAAAGGTATGGAATTTGGATAAGCAGTAAAACTATTAACTGGCAGATGATACACAGAAAACCCAAAATATTCCACAAAAAAATACATAATACATAAAATGTATATATACATAATGTATGCAGGATACAGAATACAAAAAAATTAATCAGTACAGTAAAACATCATGCTACAAAATCAATATATAAAAACTGTTGCATATCTGAAAAAAAGAAAAACTGTTATATTTCTATAGGTGAACAATGACCTAGAAGGAAAAGAAATTAACAATTCCATCAAAAATAAATACCTAGGCATAAATCTAACCAAAAAAATGAAATATAGGCCTCCCTGATGACACAGGGGTTAAAGTCAGCATTATCAAGCTGTTGCCAGTCATTGTAGCATGAGTTCAGGGGGAGCTGGCCCCTATGGCTCAGCAGACCTTTCCTGTCTTGCCTGTGCTCCCCTCAGAAGTGTATTTCAGTGGGTCCGCATGTTCTGCTCTCCAATCTGTCTCTGCTGAATCCTCTCACCCCCACACCTCCGGCCTACACCCAGTTCTTGTATGCATAAATATATAAAAATAAGTCTTAAATAAATATAAGTGAAACATATATACTGAAAGTTATAAGACACTGTTAAAAGAAACATAGAAATGAGAAGATAAATTGGGAGAATCACAATGTTAAAATGGCCATCTTACTTCAAGCAAAATACAGATTCTAGAGGCATTTCTCAGATACCAATAGAACAAACAATATTAAAGTTTGTATGGGTCTACAAATGACCCTAAAGAACTAAAGAGGATAAACAGGCAACATGGCCCTGTAGCAAACTATACTACAAAGTTAAAGTAATCAAAATAGTACAGTTTTGGACTACAAACAGACACATAAATCAGTGGAACAGAACTGAGAGTCCAGAAATAAACCTTCATCTATTTGGACAGTTAATTTACAACAAATGAGTCAGGAGCGCACACTGGGAAGGAAGACTCTGTAGTAAATGTAATTGAGAAAACTGACAGTCACAAAAATAAAGAACCAAAACTGGACCATTACCTTATACTAAACACAAATACTAATTCAAAATGGATAAACAATTTGAAAGACTTAAAATCTCCTAAGGTACTCAGAAGAAAATATGGACATGGGCCTTTGAAATGTCTTTAGAGATTTAAATTTTTAGGCATGGGAAACAAATCAAAAATAAACAAGTGGAGCTACATGAAATTGAAAATAAACCAATGTGAAAATAAAAAGGCAACCTATGGACTGGGAAAAGATATTCACAACCCATCATATGACAAGGGATAAATGCCTAGTATATAGAAAGAACAAAAAACTCAATCAAAAATGAACCAATATGTCTCCAAAGACATTTAGAACGCCAACAGGCACATGAAAAGATGTTCATCATCCCTAATCATCTGGGCAACACAAATCAAAATCACAATGAGATATCTTTATCACACCTGTAAGAATGGTGCCTATCAAAAAGACAAGTGCTGGCAAGGGTATGGAGAAAAAATCCCTTTATACATTATTAGCTTTAATAAAAGTAGTGCAGCCACTTTGGAAAACTGTGAAAATGTCTCAAAAAATCAAAAATAGAACATACCACATTAAAACACTGTTCAAAAAAAATAGCCCTATGTTCACTGTAGCAATAGTTACAACAAGCAAGATACGGAAACAACCTTAACACCCATGACAAATGACTGGATAAAGATGTGCTATACATCTATTTGGCTATAAAAAACATGGATGGAACTTGAAGGGATTACGCTAAGTAAAATGAGTCAGAAAGAGAAATATCAGACAATTTCACTCACGTATAGTATATAAAATACCAAGCTAACAAAACAAAAGCAAATCCTTTGGATTTTGACACCTGAACTATATGTATCATAGGGGAAGAAGATGGAGAAGGCAAGAGGAATGAATAGAAAGGGTCAATTAGATGGTGGCAGGTTATCAAAACTTTGGTTGGGAGGCATGGTGTGGTGTATATTTGAAGTTGTACTCTCTCCCAAGTCTACAAACTAAAATCCTCTCTTTGGTCAAAAAAAATTCAAAAGCAGCGAAGGTTATTTAGCTTTCAATGGAATAAACAATAACAACATGTATCAAAGGAGAGTCAGTCTTTTTAAGTACCTTTCTCCCTACCTCTTTACATGCACAAAATGAGTCAAGCCGCTCTTCTGTTACATAGGGAAGAGGAAAAAGTGCTAGAGATTTATTTTATTTCTTTTCTTTTCTTTTTTTTTTAAAGATTTATTTATTTGTGCATACAGAACTGGGGTACAGGCCAGAAGCTCAGGGGCGGTGAGAGGCTTCACCAGTGAGAGTGGGGAGCAGAACAGGCAGATCTACAAAGTACACTGTTGAGGGGAGCAGCAGACGGGTCAGGAGAGGTCTGAAACGCCATGTGGTCACCTCGGGGGCAGGCGGGAATTGAACTCATGTGGAAGTGGCTTTAGCTTCTTAGTGCAGTGCTTTAACACGCTGCGCCACCAGGGAGGGCCGAGATTTATTTTATTCCACAATAAAGAGATCATGTGTTTTGGTTCAGGTTTTATTTTTTATTTTTACTTTTTTTAAATATTTTTACATTTTTAAGTTATTGTTAGAAGAAAGGTAGGTTTACAGAAAGAAAGCAAAGAGGCACAGATTTTGGCTGTTGGCACATGTCTAATTTACTTGTAGTCCTGTTAAGATTATTAATAGTACTATCGTGGCCCTCCCTGGTGGCGCAGCAGGTTAAAGCACAGCACTGAGAATCTAAAGCCGCCTGCGCATGAGTTCGATTCCCGCCTGCCCGGAGGTGACCACATGGTGCGGCTGACTTCTCCTGACCCGTCCACTGCTCCCCTCAGCAGTGTACTTCGTCGATCTGCCTGTTCTGCTCCCCACTCTGTCTCTGGTGAAGCCTCTCACCGCCCCTGAGCCTCTGGCCTGTACCCCAGTTCTGTATGCACAAATAAATAAATCTTAAAAAAAAAAAATAGTACTATCATAAATGCAGTAGCTTCAAAGAATGTCAAAGTAATCCCAGTTGAGGAATGCTGTACTAACTCCTTTTAAATAATTTCTATAATTCTACCCACATTTCCTAAGGAAAGAAAAGAAAGCCAGAGAGAGTTTATTGATATGGTGGCAGAAAAAGGCCAGGGGAAGCAAAGTGTAAAGCAGTCTTAAAATTACTATTTAACAAGGCTTAATAAAATCAGAATAAGTCAATGAGCATGTTATTAACTACAGCAAAAGATTATGCTTTGCTTATAATTATCACCAAAATTCTTTTTCCAGCCAATTTCTAAAACTCACTTCCTCCCTCTGGTTTATAAAAATTTCATTTATTCCACTCATTCTATAAATATCTACTGATTCCCCATTATATGTCAGTTCTAAGAAATGGGAATTTAGCAGTATGTATATGACAGATATAGCTTATGGAATCTTTAAGTCTAGTTACGAAGACAGAAAACTGAACAAGTATATTATATGTGTGTGAGTATTTCAATTTCAATAGAAAAGTATTGAGATGTAGTTTCTAGAACCTCATTTAAGAGTCTAAGGATGCTCAGGAAACAGCAAAACCAGCAAGGAAAAATAAGGTGTGTGTGTGGGGAGGGGCAAGAGGATAAGGAGGAATGAATATTTTAGGCAAAGGCTACATCTTTAAAAAAGATTTAGTGTTTCTGGAGCATGGCATAGATAAAGCTAAAAAAGATCATTAAGTTCCATTCTGCAGAGGTGCTTTTGAGTCACTTAAGAACTCAGGACTTTTGCTTCGGGCAACTGAAAAGATTTTAAGTAAGAGAGCTCCAAGATCAGATCCAAGAATAAATAAAAAGCAGTACAATAGGATTAAGGGCTGTAATAGATGAAGGAGTTTGGATTCTCAAGAAGCATAGAAGAACTTTAGAAATGCCAGAAGAATTCAAGACATTATAAATGCACATACTGAATCCTAAGGACAAGAGATGGGTTTTGGTAATGTGGAAAGGAATCTGAGGGTCTCAAAGTTAAGGTGAGATTCAGAGGGAAGAAGACATGTGCATCCTGAACCATTTGGAAAAGTGCAAATTGAAGATAAATCTGAAAATGTAGACTGGGATTATATGTGGAAGGCTTCAGATGACTTAAGAATTCTGAAATATGTCTACAGAAAAAAGAATCGTTAACAATCTCTCAGCAAAGCAGCAAGTTTAGGTGATAGCATGACATAAACCTGAAGGAGAAAACACTAGAGCTAAGAGAGGAACCTTTCAAAGATCCAAGTATCACTAATACAAATATTTGTTGTGGGGCACAAATTTTCCATATTATTACAAAAGAAACCATGTAGAGTTGCAATGACTGCCTGAATTTTTGAGGTGGACAATAGAAAGAGTTGGATTAAAGATGACAGTCATGGCAGAGATGGTGTGAAGTGTGCCACAACCTGGATATTATAAATTTTACTACTACATGCATAATTATCTGAAAATTGTATATTATTATAGTATTATATTATCTACAATAGGCAGTTTTTCTCAAAGTGTAGCTATCAGACTGGAATTACCTGTGAGTAATCACATCCACACAGAGAGAATAACTACTAAAAACTTTTGCAGCAATATGACAATAATTTTACTTTTTAATTTAATGAAAAAAAAATTAGACTTCCACTATGTTTGTCTCTTAACCCCAGTTTTCTAGGAATTCACTTTTACCCAATTTTACAAAAGTACACATCTGTCAAAAATGAAAAAAAAAAATCTGGTCTTTTACCAGAGTTTTAAGAAATACTATTATTATTTAGCTGCACCTTAAATCTTAGGTAGACTACTTTGGAAACATTCATTTAAAAGTAAACAAAAATTTGAGTACAGATTGAATATTATTAGAGATTATGTATTTACTGCTAATTTCCTTAGGTGTGATAATACACTACCTGTAAAATAATGATGCTTTTAGGAGTTATATGTTATTGTATTTTGTGGTAAATTACCATGATATCTATAACTTAATAGTTCAGCAACAGAAAACACACAGCAGGTATTTCAAACACACACTAAATTAAATATAGTCAGGTATTAACAAGGGTTGAGTTGTAGGATGTGAATATATAGATAACAAGAATATACTTTCACCTTTTAAATAACATAATGTTGGAAAAAATATTTAAATAAATAATACATAATAAAAAATGAGGTCACTCATACCCCAAAGTCACCAGGTCAGTATTCTCAGGGAGGACTTCTGGATCTTCACCTTCCTCAAGGCACCTTAGTTTATCAAGACTGAAACAGAAAAAAAAAAAGGATATGCAATCAGGCATCTTGTATTGGACAATCAAGTTTGTGTCCTAAATAAATCACTGTATAGTTAAGAAAAAAAAAAAATTCAGCGGGCGGCCCAGAGACCAGAATTCTACGTAAATTTCTGTACCCACATTCTATAAAGAAAAAGGCGAAATGAAGATGGTCATTACCATTAAGCACAGAAGGAGATCGTTAAAGGTTATTTTTATATTTTCTCCCCAAATCAGGCACTTTTGGGGAAAAAGTCAGTAACCCTTTATTCGAGAGGTCCTCAGAAGAGACTATAGTTAATCCTGGTTCTAACACTCTGGAAGGAGGTTATGTCTCCTCCCAGCATCACCAGTAACTGAAGGTTTCATCAGTGTCAAGCTGTTAATGACAAGTACACGTCTCTATTACTGTTTGTCTCTAGCTCTGATTCGATATTAACAAGCACTTTAAAAATAAAAGGAAAAAAATCTTTTAAGCAGCTCTCGCATTCCTTCACTCCAGCTCGGAGAAATCATGTGTTCCGAACACAGGACTTCTGGTGTTCCGGGAAGGTTCCAGCATGCTGAAAGGGCGATCCTTCCACCCAGAGGTCTACACCACAGGATCTCCCAACGAGGAGTCCCAGAGGGGGGCAGAAAACTAGGCAGCACCCTACTTGGCCTCAAGCAGCAAGAGACCCTCAGTTCCGCACTCACCCGCAGACTGCCCTTAGCTCGGCTGCTGCCTCCAGGCTGCATCCCAGATCCCGGGCCACCTCCGCATCCTCCCTTCCAGAGTCGGCGACCCTTCGGCTCCCGATCAGCGTGGGTGCCAGCGGCTCCCTCAGAGACATGTCCCCTGTACCGCGTAAACGGCCACGCCACAGTTCCCCGAAAGCGCCCACATGGAACGCGCGGGTGTTTAGCTCGGGAAGTTCGTACTCGGGGAAGTTGGAGCCCCCACTGTCGGAGAGCGGGTCCTGCCTGCCGCCCACTCCGCTACACGCTGGGCCGCTCCGGACGCCTTCAGCCATGTTCGCCCCACTCCCTTCCTAGCAAAAGCCGAACGACCAAGACCTCGCGCAGCGTAATGGGACTTGTAGTCGCAAGCGGTCACGGACGGCAAGCTGCAGGGCTGCGCGCGAGACGATTCAGACACTACATTTCCCGGCAGGCCCCGGGTGGGACCCGCCCCCGGGCGCGGCGACCCGAGCCTCAGCGTTTAGGCTGAGCGCATTGTTCTCAGCTCGCTGTCGAGTGGCGAGGGCTTACGGTTCTTGGGCCGCTGCATCCTGTGAATCTGGGTGTCCGACCTTCAGAGTCACATACCCTTGGTAAGGGCAAGGTGGCCTCACCATGCCCTTCGGTCCCATGCTTTGCTTTTCTCGGCGCAGGATGCGGGACTATAAGGTTCGTGGGCTTCGCTCCTGCCTCAGATTGCCCCACAGCCTGAAACTTGGGGGGGCGAGCTCTGAGACGAGGGACGTCCTTAGCATCTAGTTTTCTTCACAGCCTCCCTAATGGCTCAGTGTTTGTGTGTGTGTGTGTGTGTGTTTACGTAATTGCTGGTCACATGCGCCAAGTGTTAATGAGTGTCTACTGTGTATCAAACATTATATTATTAGCCTTAAGCAGATTTAAAAAAAAAAAAATCACAACAGCCTTTTGGTCATGAACTGCTAGGAACATTCATGTACAAATTTTTGTGCAGGCATATATTTTATTCTCTAAGAACTGTTTGAATTACTGTGTTATATGATAACGCTATGTTAAACCATTAGAAGCACTACTCTCAAGTTTTCCAGTGTCTATTCCATTTTACATTCTAACAGCAGTGTATGATTATTCTGATTTCTCCACTTCCTTGACAACACTTGTTACTATCTTTCTTTTTAATTATAGCCATTCTAGTGGGTAGAAGTATCTTGTGGCCTTGATGTGCTTTTGCTTACTAATGAAACTGAGCATATTTTCATGTGTTTATCTTTGAAACAATGTCTGTTCAAGTTCTTTGCCCAATTTTTTTTTTGCCCTATGCCCTTTATTTTATTTTTTTAAAGATTTATTTATTTATGCATACAGAACTGGGGTACAGGCCAGAGGTGCAGGGGTGGCGAGAGGCTTCACCAGAGACAGTGTGGGGAGCAGAACAGGCAGGTCGCGGAAGTACACTGCTTAGGGGAGCAGCGGGCGGGTCAGGAGAAGTCTGCCACACCAAGTGGTCTCCTCCGGGGCAGGCGGGAATCAATCGAACTCATGCGGAAGTGGCTTTAGGGTCTCAGTGCTGTGCTTTAACCCGCTGTGCCACCAGGGAGGGTCAGTCCTATGCCCATTTTTAAATTAAGTTATTAATATGTTTATAGAAGACCTGATAATTAGACATACATTGTGTAGGTGAACATCTTTTGTTTTTATTTGCCTAGTCCTACGTTACTTAGAACTGACCTTACCCACTCTTTTTGGTCTTCCTAAGACTGTCAGAGCCCTTCCTACTTTGGCCACATTGAATGTATAAGGATGATCAAGTGACTCAACACAGAACCAAACAGAAACCTCCTCTGAGTGGATTTTATCTGTAAGAAACTCCCTCTCCTTCCTGAAAAACCTAAGAATATGACCTCGACCCAGCCTGGGTTGACCAATGGAGGAAAAAAAAGCCAAAGTTTACATAAGCAAAGACAGAAGCTGGAGAAATAGAAGAGTCATGTGACTTGCTACTATTGTGGCAGAGGCTGTCTTCTCCCCCCAAACTTGCCCTTAGTTAACCCAGTATTTTTTTTTTTTAACCTTAAGCTATTTTGGGTTCAATTCCTGGAACCTGAAGACTAATAGTCTTCCCAGGGCTTGTAAGACTTGGTCCAAATTCTTCAACAGGGGGAGCTCTCACTCCAGCCAATGAGGTCACTCTTCAGGTGAAAGAATTCTTGTGTCTAAATATTTACTAAAATTGATTTCAGAAGAGAAGATTACAATGGTTCCCAAGCAACAGAGGGAAGGAACAGGATGGAAACGAGCAATATAGGAAAGGATGGTTTCACATCACTGAGGTGTGGCATTAGGGACTTGAGAGGCATGGATGACAGGGGTTAGCAGGGAAAGAGGGAGTAGCAACAGTAGTAGCAATCACGGCCTGTCATCCATTGACTCTTAGCAGCAGAACCCCCATCCCTTGGCATAAGGCTGGAGGGGTCCAGAATAGCCACTAAAACATAAAGTAATTTTGAGCTGGATGCACTTGAGAATTTTTTCCCCCCCTGAACTCCCTTATTTACCTAATGTCAAACCTCCTATTAAAAAAATCTAATAGTGAGAAGTTCCCTTCCCACAACTAGAGAAGACTGACTAGAAATAGGCAAGCAGACGTTGTCACAAGACTATGTTGTCTCCACTCTATTCTCCTGAAGGTTCATTGATTTTTTTCTAAAACTTACTTGTTTTCCCATATGCCCTTTCACCATTTGCCCTGTTTTAGAAGTCTTCCGTTTTCCGTTAAGTGCCCTTCACCCCGCCCCCTTCTTCAAAATTAGTCTACCAGCTCAAATTCTAACTGCCTTTCATAGTGACATTTTTCTGGGAACTCTTCCATACTTCATATGTACTTGAATACAAATCTGCCTTTTCTCTTGCTAATCTGTTATTTGTCAATTTAATCACAGGCCTCCAAGAATAAATTTAAAAGAGTAAAGGAAAAGATTTTCCTTCTCAACAAGACTATGGCAAAGGCAGCTCCTGACCTATAGCAAACAGGAGTATTTCTAGACCTGGGATTAGGGCAGTAGAAAGGAGGTAGAAAGATTCCAAAGACCCTGAGTAGAGAGAGTCCCTGTAATTGTGAATGAGCTCTGTATAAACCCGAAGGGGAAAAAACCCTAAGGTTTACTAAGTGTGGATATCACAGCCAACCACTGGGTTAAGGTGGTGGTGTAGGTTTAGATTCCAGATTCTGGGTAGTGCGTGACACAAACATTAGTGTGTTAACTGGCTCTTGGTTTCCCAACTTTACTCATGGAGAAAAAGATTTAAGAATCAGGAAGTAGGAGTAGGGAGAGCCAAGACCTTACAGCTTGCTTCTGAGCATTAATTTGTTCACCTGAGATCTTTATATTGGACTCAGGAAGAGAGGAAAGTTGGTTTGCTGGTGGGAACTGTGGCAAACTGGGTGATACCAGTGTTGGGGGAATACTAAGTGCTGAATAAACTCTATCTGCTGTTGGAATAAACTCTATCTGCTGATGCTCCCCACCTCCATGCCAAAGAGATCCCAGGCACCAAGGTCTGTAACCCCCATCATGCCATGCATGAATCTGCCTAGACTTTTGACTACTCGAAGAGGAGGATGCAGGGAATTAAGGTTGGAATCAGTGGCCATGCTTGGTACAAAACTGAACACATGTGGTTTGCAGGGGCCTTGGTTTTGCCTGCCTTCTGTCTGAATAGAGTTCCTCCTCAGGTAGTATAAATGGCAGGATGTGTTGACCATTTAAAACTTTTTTCTCCCTCTCTCTGTGCTCTCTTCTTTTCATTTCCCTTGTAGATAAAGCTTTAATTAACTTTTCCCTGGGTGCCTGCCCTTGAGTCTTGACCCGAGTTGTAAGGATGTGGATGAATACTCATGTTTAGGCCATTTTGTTTCCCTTTGGGTGACCCCTGTAACACCCACATCTTCATTCTTATGCTCATCTTTTTTTGACTCTGTTGGTCCCATCTTTTTGAGTATCATTTCCAGTTATGCCACACCACTTGGGGACAGTCTTGTTCTGAGGTGATGCCAGCTTATTTGAGAAAGAGCTGTAGATTAGAGCATAACAGAGCAGACATCTTCCCCCCCCATTTATGAGATATTAAAATAACACACTGATTCATGTATCCAGTGTACACAGCATTACTGAAAACATTTATACTATTATACAAAGAAAGGACTGATTTTGGAATATGATTCCTAACTTATGTCATTTACTTTAAGAAATAAAACCACAAACAACACAGTCTAATTCTATCTTAAAGGCTAGCATACTGTGCAAGGAATGTTCTTATTCTTTGTAGCTCTTTTTTTACACAGTCTGGAACCAGAGTTTTTCCTTTTGGTGTGCTTTCAGCTACCAAGTTATCAAAAGTAATGTTCTAGTTATTTTTCTTTAACCACTTCTTTACAGCATGCTTTCAATTGATCTTTCCCATGACATTGAATTTATTTAGCTGCCCATAACTTTTTGCGGTGATCCCTTTCTCCAGTTTCTATTTTGTGGTTAATCACTGCTCACATCTGTGCATCTTTATTCATGTTGCTAACCATACTCTTCCACTGCCTAAATGTAGACCCCATTTCTTTTGTTTGTTAGCCTTCAATGTAGGGGTTCATTTAGCAAAGTTAAATACTAAGCCCTACTCCTTACCAGCAAACAGATTTGGGAGACTTGAATAGATAAGGAAATCATAAGGTTGACATGGGAACTGGGCCATACGACTGACCGCCATGATCAGAAAAACCCAGCTCAGCTCCAAGAATGCAAAAGCAGAGCCAGGACACATTATGAGTCAAAGCCAGTGCCCAAGAGTGGACATCCCAGCAGATAACTGGTGAAAACTGGCACCTCAAGATAGAAAGCCCAAGAAAACAGTGTAAAAGCATCAAATCCTTTCCATGAAGACATCTATCACCTTTCTTGTCCCCTCCTACTTGCAGCCACATGGAACAGTGAGCATGTGATGAAGAAACGTGCTTGTTCCATGTGGCTTTCTCAGGTTTCCTTCTCGTTCTCCATCCAGCTTCCTTATCTTCTTCTCTTTTCATTCCTTCTCTTCTCTCCTTTTTCTCTGCTCAGCTCCACCCTCCTGGGTGGAGCAGGGAACCTGGAACTTCCCCTTTTCCTAGGGACCACCCTGTTACACTACCACATGTACCTTTGTGACATACACACAGGACTCTCGGTTTGAAGTTGTGTTTCAAACACTGGTGAACTTTATCTTAAAAATAGAAATTAAAAGGGCTCTTTTGCATTCAACCATCATCTCAAAAGATGATGAATTACCAAACT